TGTGACACACTCATGTGACACACTCATGTGACACACTCATGTGAAACACTCATGTGAAACACTGATGTGACACACTCATGTGAAACACTCATGTGAAACACTCATGTGACACACTCATTGTGAAACACTCATGTGAAACACTCATGTGAAAACACTGAAAAACTGACTGATGTGACACACCATGTGACACACTCATGTGAACATCATGTGAAACATCATGTGAAACACTCATGTGAAACACTCATGTGAACACTCATGTGATGTGAACACTCATGTGAACACTCATGTGAAACACTCATGTGACACACTCACACACTCATGACACACTGTGAACACTCACTGTGTGACACACTCATGTGAAACACTCATGTGACAACATGTGACACACTCATGTGTCATGACACACTCATGTGACACATGTCACTCATGCAAACACTCATGAAACACTCATGTGACCACTCATGTGAAACACTCACGTGAACACACTCATGAAACTGAAACACTCTCATGTGAAACATCGTTGACACAATGTCGTGTGACATCAAACACTCATGTGAAACACAACCGTGTGAAACACATGTGAACACTCAGTGACACACTGAACACTCATGTGATGTGACACACTCATGTGAACAAACACTCATGTGAAACACTCATGTGAACACTCAACATCATGTGAACACACACTCATGTGAAACACTCATGTGAACACACTCATGTGACACACTCATGTGAAACACATCATGTGACACACTCATGTGAAACACTCATGTGACACACTCACACTCATGTGAACACTCATGTCCATGTGACACACTCGTGTGTGAACACTCATGAACACTCTGACACACACTCATGTGAAACACTCATGTGACACTCATGTGAACACTCATGTGAACACTCATGTGACACACTCATGTGACACTCATGTGAAACACTCATGTGAAACACTGATGTGACACACTCATGTGAACACTCATGTGAAACACTCATGTGACACACTCATGTGAAACACTCATGTGAAACACTCATGTGAAACACTCATGTGAAACACTCATGTGACACACTCATGTGACACACTCATGTGACACACTCATGTGAAACACTCATGTGACACACTCATGTGAAACACTCATGTGAACACTCATGTGACACACTCATGTGAAACACTCATGTGAAACACTCATGTGAAACACCATGTGAAACACTCATGTGACACACTCATGTGAAACACACTCATGTGAAACACTCATGTGAAACACTCATGTGAAACACTCATGTGACACACTCATGTGAAACTCATGTGAACACTCATGTGACACACTCATGTGACACACATGTGAACACTCATGTGACACTCATGTGAAACATCATGTGAAACACTCATGTGACACACATGAAACACTCATGTGAAACACTCATGTGACACACTGAAACACTCATGTGAAACTCATGTGAAACACTCATGTGACACTGCACACATCATGTGAAACACTCATGTGACACTCATGTGAAACACTCATGTGACACACTCATGTGAAACACTCATGTGAAACACTCATGTGAAACAGACGCGGCTTTAACGAAGTGACGCCAACACCGACCCAGAACACACAATCATCCCCCGATTTAACCCCCGGCCTTACTCCTGTTTACATTTAACCCAGGCTTTAGACCTGTTTAAGTCCGGCCGGGTCCAGACTGTGGTCCAGACTGAGGTCCAGACTGTGGTCCAGACTGTGGTCCAGACTGAGGTCCAGACTGAGGTCCAGACTGTGGTCCAGACTGTGGTCCTGTGTTAAATGTGCTGTGACCCTGTGGACCGAGGAGAGTCTTAGACCTGCCACGATCCTCGTTTAAAGCCATTTTAACCCGAGTTTAGTCCTGTTACGGTCCTGGTCCTGGTCCTGGTCCTAGTTCTTGCCTTGTGCCGGTCTAGTGCTGGTCTGGTCCAGGTCTGGTCCAGGTCTGGTCCAGGTCTAGTCCAGGTCCAGGTCTAGTCTGGTGAGAGTGGTCCGGTGGTCTGTGGTGGACGAAGCACAAACAGAGTCAGAGCCAAAGTCCTGAAGAAAAAAAATCCACGGTTCAGTCATTAGTGTTTCCATCTGAGACTGAGTGGGTCTGTCCTGGTCTGAGTGGGTCTGTTTGGGTCTGAGTGGGTCTGAGTGGGTCTGGTCTGTCCTGGGTCTGAGTGGGTCTGAGTGGGTCTGTCCTGGTCTGAGTGGGGTCTGAGTGGGTCTGGGTCTGTCCTGGTCTGAGTGGGTCTGTTTGGGTCTGAGTGGGTCTGGGTCTGAGTGGGTCTGTTTGGGTCTGAGTGGGTCTGTTCTGAGTGGGTCTGAGTCTGGGTCTGTCCTGGTCTGAGTGGGTTCTGTCCTGGTCTGAGTCCTGGTCTGAGTGGGGTCTGAGTGGGTCTGTCCTGGTCTGAGTGGGTCTGTTCTGGTCTGAGTGGGTCTGAGTGGGTCTGTCTGGTCTGAGTGGGTCTGTCCTGGTCTGAGTGGGTCTGTTCTGGTCTGAGTGGGTCTGTCTGGTCTGAGTGTCTTTGGGTCTGAGTGGGTCTGAGTGGGTCTGTTCTGGTCTGAGTGGGTCTGTCTGAGTGGGTCTGTTTGGGTCTGAGTGGGTCTGTTTGGGTCTGAGTGGGTCTGTTTGGGTCTGAGTGGGGTCTGGGTCTGTTGGTCTGAGTGTCTGTTTGTCTTGGGTCTGAGTGGGTCTGTCTGAGTGGGTCTGTTTGGTCTGAGTGGGTCTGAGTGGGTCTGTTCTGGGTCTGAGTGGGTCTGTTCTGGTCTGAGTGGGTCTGTTTCTGGTCTGAGTGGGTCTGTTCTGGTCTGAGTGGGTCTGTTTGGGTCTGAGTGGGTCTGTTTGGGTCTGAGTTCTGGTCTGAGTGGGTCTGTTCTGGTCTGTTCTGGTCTGAGTGGGTCTGAGTGGGTCTGTGGTCTGTTTGGGTCTGAGTGGGTCTGTTTGGGTCTGAGTGGGTCTGTTTGGGTCTGAGTGGGTCTGAGTGGGTCTGTTCTGGTCTGAGTGGGTCTGTTTGGGTCTGAGTGGGTCTGTGGGTCTGAGTGGGTCTTGGGTCTGTGGGTCTGAGTTTGGGTCTGTTTGGGTCTGAGTGGGTCTGTTCTGGTCTGATGGTCTGGTCTGTTTGGTCTGGGTCTGAGTGGGTCTGTTCTGGTCTGAGTGGGTCTGTTCTGGTTTTGGGTCTGTTTGGGTCTGAGTGGGTCTGTTTGGGGTTCTGGTCTGAGTGGGTCTGTTCTGGTCTGAGTGGGTCTGTTTGGTCTGTTCTGGTCTGAGTGGGTCTGAGTGGGGCTGTTCTGGTCTGAGTTTTCATGTAGATTTGTGTGTTGTTGTGTGTTTGTCTGGTCTGTTCTGGTCTGAGTGGGTCTGTTTGGGTCTGAGTGGGTTTTCTGTCGTCACATATCTTTTTTGTGACATGTTTTTTTTCTTTTTAGTGACTAAAGGCGACAAATAATAACTTTCATTTATGGGTTAAACTAATAATTGTTCAAATGTTGATGTAAAAAAACTGAATTGTTTGTGTGTTGTTGTATATTTGTGTGTTGTGTGTTTGTGTGTTGTTGTGTGTTGTTGTGTGTTTTTGTGTGTGTTCTCATGTATATTTGTGTGTGTGTTGTGTGTTTGTGTGTGTTTTCATGTATATTTGTGTGTTGTTGTGTGTGTTTTGTGTGTGTTCTCATGTATATTTGTGTGTTGTTTGTGTGTTTGTGTGTGTTTTCATGTATATTTGTGTGTTGTTGTGTGTGTTTTCATGTATATTTGTGTGTTGTTGTGTGTGTTTGTGTGTGTTTTCATGTATATTGTGTGTTTTCATGTATATTTGTGTGTTGTTGTGTGTTGTTGTGTGTGTTTTCATGTATATTGTGTGTTTGTGTGTTGTGTTTTGTTGTGTGTGTTAATGTTGTGTTTTGTGTGTGTGTGTGTTGTGTGTGTTGTTGTGTGTGTTTTTCATGTATATTTGTGTGTGTTTTCATGTATATTGTGTGTTGTTGTGTGTTTTGTGTGTGTTTGTGTGTTGTTTGTGTGTTTGTGTGTGTTTTGTGTGTTGTTTGTGTTGTTGTGTGTGTTGTGTTGGTGTGTTGTGTGTGTTTTTCATGTGTTTGTTGTGTGTGATGTGTGTGTTGTTGTGTGTGTTTGTGTGTGTTTTGTGTGTTTTGTGTGTGTGTGTGTTTGTGTGTGTTTTCATGTATATTTGTGTGTTGTTGTGTGTTGTTGTGTGTGTTCTCATGTTGTTGTGTGTGTGTTGTGTGTGTGTGTGTTTCATGTGTTGTGTTGTGTGTTGTTGTGTGTGTTCATGTGTGTGTGTGTGTGTTGTGTGTGTTTTTCATGTATGTGTGTTGTTGTGTGTGTTGTGTGTTGTTGTGTGTGTTTGTGTGTGTTTTCATGTATATTTGTGTGTTGTTGTGTGTGTGTTTGTGTGTTGTTTGTGTGTGTGTTTCATGTGTATGTTGTGTGTTGTTGTGTTGTTGTTGTTGTGTGTTTGTGTGTGTTTGTGTGTTGTGTGTTGTTGTGTGTGTTCTCATGTGTTGTGTGTTGTTGTGTGTGTGTTGTGTGTGTGTGTTGTGTTGTGTTGTGTGTTGTTTGTGTGTTCTCATGTGTTGTTGTGTGTGTTTGTGTGTGTTTTCATGTGTGTTGTTGTGTGTTTTGTGTGTGTGTGTGTGTGTGTTTGGTTGTGTGTTTTCATGTGTATGTTGTGTGT